AAGTTAGCAAAAGTAATAGCAACTTTTGTAGCCCGTCAAATGGCGATTCGAATGAGATATGAATGAAGACTATACCTATAAAGACCACAGACTTGATGTCTTTACCACGAACGTCAAACCGACTTGGATTGACTCGGGGCGGGCCTGAATTTCTAGCGTGGATGCGTCATATCGGATCACGCTCTAAATAACTTTTCTAGACTCACTGCGACGTTGAAACGATGATGAAGTTTGTTTAGTCTGATCCATCACGGATTGTTTCGTTGTCGATTTGCGTGGAATTTCTGACGATTTCAATAATTTATGATGAGAACCTGGAATAAATGATTGCTGTCTTTCGACAGATCTCCCGATTCCCAATTGTTGTAAATGCCGACTGGAATGATTTGGATGTCGATATGGCCGTTGATGACTGACGGCCGTTAGGGTTGTTGATTCCGGATTCATGAAGAAGTATGGTTGTTGAATTTGTTTAAAACTGTTGAATTTTCATTTCTTGAAATTTTTCAAATTGTTCATGGATATCTTGTTCCTTTTTTGCCACGGTCAAAAACGTTGCAATTTGATCAATCTGGGGGTCATGGCGAGAAAGTTGTTTCCGAAATTCAGGACGAGCACCGTTCATAAGATATTGGACAATAATCCTCTCAGTCATACCTGTGTCGACTTCTCGACACAAGGAAACCATATCATCGAAATACGTTGCCATGGGTTCATCAGGTTGTTGTTTTCGTTGAAGTAATTCACTAAATTTCGTTTGAGATTTCATGGTTGACGAATATCGACCCCGAAAGAACGTTTCAAACTGAAACCATGTAGTAAATTCTTGATCGTCGAACCATGTATCGGCCGATTGTGACAGCTTTCTCCGGACAATTTCAAGACGTTGAGCATCGATTATGTCAGTGTCAGTTTTAGATAAATTTTTAATTCTCTTCAAGAATTGTTCGATGTCCTCTGATGGTTGACCGGAAAAACTGGGTAGATCATTGAAACGAGCTTTTCTGGATAATGTAAGCAATTCGTTGGACGACATGGTCGAGATTGGTGGTGTCGAAACTGTTGTCTGATTTGACAAATCAAGAGACGACGTATTCTCCTTGAGTCTGCATTTTCTGCACCTTAAATTTCAGAAAACAAAACTTACAGGTAAGAAACTAGCTTCAAACTTGTAAAAGTATATTGATGAAGTCAGGCGTAAGAGCATAAGAGCAGGCATAAGGAGAATAGATTTGAAAGCTCATTAGGTCTTCATCCTCTCTATCAATGCTTCAATTCATAAAACATGCTAGTATTATAACATTTTCATCGAAGAATACACCCATCCATAATCACTTCATCACCATCACCATTTTAATGCTATGTTTTTTCCATCTGCCTTCAGTACGCTAAATAAATAAATCTAGAAAACTGTCTCTCAAAGTTTCAGAATGAAAAAACGGACTTTTGGCAGTGTTCGAACAGATAGGACTCAAAAACCAAACCCGTTTTCTCAAACCTAACATCGGATTTCCCTGAGATCGGAAAGCCAAAATTTTGTCATGGCTCGATCTGCTGGATGCTCCTTTTCAAAAGTATACAAAAGCTTTTTTTCTTCGCTCAGAAAATTCATTTTTTCTAACTAACAGACAAAAAACTCGGAATTCTGCCCGTAATTCTCAATTTTTTCGATCAGAACTCAACTTCTAAGTAACACAAATATCATATTCGAAATCAGGATCGAAATACTGGTACTTGAGAATGAAATACATAGTTTTTTACAGTAATAGTACTTTGAAAAAGAGAAACATATGAAATGAGTAACTTCATGAAAAGGGTAGAAATATGACATAACGCTATCGAATTCGGAATCGCAGTGCCAAAAAACGATCCTCGAGAAATTTTCGAGTGTCCCCGAGATTACACGTTCAAAATGTGTTTGTTCTCACGTCGATTGTGGTCATTTTGAAAAAAGTCATTTTGTGATATGGGCCCGGGGGCACTCCAAACTTATTCGATGATCCTTTTGTGGCATTGCGATTTCGAATTTGATAGCTTTATGTCACATTTCTGCCCGTTTCATGAAGTCACTCATTTCATATGGAGAACAAACCATGATACAGTTATTAAGTAACAAAACACCAACATAGCACTGAAATTTCATCTTTCAGTGCCAAACAACAAAACATGTCAATATCGCATGAAAAATTCATGCTTCATCACTTATCGAATGTTCGGTCGTCTAGAAGTATAACTTCATTGTTTGTTGTTTCTCTATTATTTTGAAAACCTGAATGGTTTAATTTGATTGACATTTTTTAATCTTCTTCTTCACCTTCATCTACAAAATATACGGTTTCATACTGTCTGATGTCGCAGATGAGATCCGGTGTTCTTGATCAACAGTTAAAACAGGTGACCAAGCAAAAGGATGGGAAACGGTTTCTGCTAGAAAATCGCCTAATATGATTTTGATTGGAAATGATCGGAATTGCTTCTCTTTTCACTTCCCATTTTCAAAAAATCCTTCTGGTGTCTTTCAAAAAAAAATTACTTTTCATTTTTCGCCACCAGTTCAACAAAAGCCATTTACCTTTTTCCGCAAAGGAAGAGGGCGGATAAGGTAGGTTTCCCGCACCCAATGGAATTGCATTTTTTCTATCAGAAACATGTCAGGGGATTATTTGAAACATTTTGTACCACTTAGTTTTTCAAAATTTTTTTGGAAGGTTTTTGG